TCGGACTGCCCCCAGCCCCATGGCTCAGCTAGAATTCCCTGCCAAGGGGGACAGGGCCAGATCCAAAGCAAAGGACACCTCTACCTCCCAATGTCCATCCTTGATGGAGGGGTGTCATCCGTGCTGGATGGGGCTGGATGCACGGGGCACTCAGTGGGGTGCCATCCTCACCAGGGGATTCATCCAGGGGTGCCATCCTGGGCTGGCCATGCATCCCCAGCCCCACAGAGTCCCTGCCCTGCATGGGTGCCTCAGCAGCAGGACCCCAAAGCAGGTTCTGCCCATGTCCCACTGCTGCTGAGGTCCCCACACCTCAGGGCTCCCCCCTGGGCTGACACTGTCCCGCTGGGGCACCCCAGGTGACAGGGAGAGAATTGTCCCACACCAAAAGTGCTGGGAACTTGGCACTTGGCTCCTCCACCCCCTTGGCCAGGAGAGTTTCCAGTCAGACAGACAGACTGCAGCTGCTGCCAGCACCCCCTTCCCACAGCAGCATCCCGCCTGTCCCTGCCCTTCCCTGCAGCATCACGAGCTCCTGCAGCCTGCAGGCCCCATCCATCCTCCTGGCAGGTGAGTCACGAGCCTGCCCCGTGCCTCAGTTTCCCCTGCTGTGCAGTGAGGACAGGCAGGATGCAGGGGGGGTGGCAAGAACTGAGCGGGCCACGTCCCAGAGCAGAGTCTCCGTGGCTTTTCCTGCCACTTACAAGTGGGAAGTGGCTTTGTCAGGAAACAGTGTCCATGACTTGGTTTAATGTCGCTGAGTCCTTTCCAGATTTGCAGTCTCCCAGGGTTAGGAAGGCCCTGGCTGATGAGGGCTCAATTTGGCTGCACATTTTACCCTTGTTTTGGGTTTTTGTTTTACACTGAAAAACAAGCAGTGTGGAGGTGAAAGCCTGAAAAAAATACGTCAGGATTTGGAGGGGTGAGGCAGAGAATGGAGCTAAAGCAAGGAGCATCCTTCCACCTGCAAAATAAATTTACAGCCTCAATTCCTCCCTCCTGTGTCACATCCGTGGAGCATCTTCCAAAAGTGAAGGGCAAAGCAGGGGCATGAGCCATGCCAGGAAGAAGGACACTCAAGAGTGCCTGGGGACAGTGCTGGTGGCTGGAAGCAGTTTTGGGGACCATGAAAACCCTGTCTCTCCCTTCCCAGCTGTGTTTGCAGTGTGGCTCCAATTACAGAAATATGGGAAAATGTCGTGCCTCGGTTGGCAAACATTTCTCCTGGCAAGCTCCAGCCGACAGCTGCCATGCTGGGATCCAAGGGGCTCCCATCCCCTCCCTCCCACACCTCCCACCTCAAATCCATACCCCATTAAGGCTGCACCTCCTTTCCCAATGTGCCTGTGCCTGCCCAGGGCAGCCCCTCACTGCAGGTGATAATTTCCTCACAGATTATAAATCCCTGCACTCCCAGGAGCAGGGAGGGGGAGGACACCCTTGGGAAGCACCCAGGTCTCCTTTGCCCTTGGAAACCAGGTAGTTTCCCACTGATTCCCCAGGGTGTGGGAAGGAAGAAAAAAAAAAAGAGGGGAAAGGAGTAAAATCTCTAAAACATTCAGTGAGGAGGAAGAGGAGGAGGAGGAGGGGGGGAGAAGTAAAACTGAGTGAGGGAAGAGGAGGAGAGCAGGGCAGGGAGAGAGAGGATTACTGCTCGGTTAAATTAGAGGGAGCCCTTCAGCTGACTTGAACAGCAGGAGAATTTGCCCAAAGACCCCAATTTTTCCAATTTGGGATAAAATGTAAGCGCAGGATTAACTACAAGCATATGCTTAAAACCCAAGGAATTGAAAGAAGTCTGGGCATAAAGTGCTCCAAAGAGGGCAGGGAGGCAGGGCAGGGGCTGGAAGCTGCATGGATGACCTGGCTCTGCAGGGCTGCACTGCAGGCATGGGGGAGCTGTGAGGGGACTGGAAGAACCACAGGTGCCCTGGGAGGCTCCTGGAGCTCAGTGAATAATAACCTGAAAGAGAATGACATGACTCAACTCCGTGTGCAAGGGCTGTGTGGGGAAGAGGGCTGGTAAGGGAGGCTCCTCCAGCAGGCACAAGACGCCCTGGTAGGACAAAGTGGGGTCAAAGGGACCCTGCACTGCTATGCCTGGAGCAGGACAAGCCTTGCCGGGGTCCTTGCACAGCCCCAGCCCTGGCAGAGGGGCTGGGGGCACGGGGCTGTGCCCTGCCCCATGCCCAGAGCTCTGCTGGTGCCCCACCCTCCGCTCCGGGGACCCCAGCAGCAGGGCTCGGAGCTGGCACGTGCCCTTTCTGTCACACACATCCCTGTGCACGTGATGTGCCCATGAACATCCCGGACTGATTTATGGGATGAGAGGAGGGCAGGAGGCCAACCTTAAATCCTGACTGCCTGGTGATTAATAATCATAATTACTATCATATTAGCTGTAGTAGTAATAGTTTGCTTTCCCCTGCAGAACTGGTCATCCAGGAATCTCAGAGAGGTTTTACCAGGCCAAGTGACCAATGTCCCTGTTTTCTAAAGGAAATTGCGGCACGGAGCTGTCTCCCTTGAGTCACACAGTATATCAACAAGAAAACAGAGAAGGCAGGAGTCTGGACTCTGTGTCCCTCTCCCTCCCCCATGCTATTAAGCTGCATCTGTGTAATATAGAGCAAAACATCCTCCACGACTCGCAGTAAATCATGGCAGAGGCAGTGTGCAGAGTGGATGGGGGGAGATAATGGGTTTTTCACCCTCTTCAACAATAGAACAAGTTTTTCTGCGTTAGGGAAGGCTGACTTCTCTGAGAGATGGAGATAAAAACAGCACAGAGGCCCTGAAATGGGCCTGAAAGGGCACCTGCCTCACCCACTTGCATTGCTGGCCCAGGGACAGGAAGCAACCCGGGCAAACCATGCTCTGGGTCGAGTGCCCCACTGGCATGGCCTGGTCCACATGGGCATGACTGAGGTGCACTGGAATATTAATTAAAAATCCCAGCAAAACACTTCTGCTGATGATAATGGACTATAATCCTCTTAGACCAATTTCATGCCTGAAAAATCATGCATAACAAAATAATAATAGAAAACCCCTCAGTGGACACTGTCCCTAGCAGTGGACACAGGAGAAGAGGGCTGGCCAGAGTAGATTTCTCAGGAAGGAGAGGGAGCTGGTCCCCTTGGCCTCCACCCCTAAGGAGGGCAGGAGAAGAACTAAATAGGGCTGAACATCTGCTCTAGCAGTGCAACATCACCGTGGACGCTGATGTCCCACAGAGACCTGGGGACCCACCAGGGCCCCCATCCTCTACAAGGCCCATGGGGCTTTCTGTGACCCCAGAACCTTGGATCCTCCTGTATTCTCCACGTCCACCAGAGCTCCCAGGATGCCCTGGACTCTCCACGTCCTTCAGAGTTCTCAGGACTCTCAGAACGCTCCATGTTCCTCAAGGATTCTCTGTGCCCACAGAGCCCTGTGCCAGGCTGGGTGGTCCCATGCCAAATCCCCCTCCCACACGCAGCCATCCCCCCCTCCCCTCCGCTCCCCTCCCGCCCGCCCCGCACGCCCCTTCAGCACCACCCCGGCTGGACAGCGCCAGGTGAGGGGCCCGCACCTGGAGCGGCCCCTCCGGGGCACCCTGACCCCGGCACCTCGGGGACCTCTGGGAGCACCCTGACCCCGGCACCTCGGGGACCTCCGGGGCACCCTGACCCCGGCACCTCGGGGACCTCTGGGAGCACCCTGACCCCGGCACCTCGGGGACCTCCGGGGCACCCTGACCCCGGCACCTCGGGGACCTCTGGGAGCACCCTGACCTCCTCCCCGGCAGCCCCCGGCATTCCCAACATCCCGACAAAGGCTTCTGCCCCCCTTCCCTTGCACCCCATTTTCACCCCCGACACTCCCTCCTCGGCCCCATTGCCTGCTGCACCCCTGCGCCCCCTCCTCAGCACCCTCTCCTCTGCACCCTTGCACCCACAGACATTGCCCCCTCCAACCCCGGCACCCAGCAGCACCCCCTCTTCTGCCTCTGCACCTCTGCATCTCCTCCTCCCCCGCACCATCCCCTGCACCTCAGCATCACCTCCACGCCCCCCTCCACTCACCACCCCTGCACCCCGGCATCCCCTTCTCTGCCACCCCCAGCACCCCAGCGCTCTTCATCTCTCCCTCCTCCACCATCCTCCTTCACCGTCCCCACCCGTCAGCTCCCTGCACCCCCAGCGCCTCCTCCTCCAGCACCCCTTCCTCCAGCGCCCCCAGCACCCTTCAGCTGCACTCCCACCAAATCCCCCCATCTCCAGCACAACCTCCAGTTCCAACACCCCAACCCTCCAGGACATCCTTTGCCGGCACCCCAAGGACCCCATCCCCTCCAAGCACTCCCCGTCCCAGCCCCACAGGGACTCTCCCTCCACCCCCTAATCATTCCCGTCCCGGCGCCCCAAAGCCTCCTTCCCCTCTCAGCACCCCCAGCCCCTCAGGGACCCCCAGCACCCACCTGCTCCCCGCCCCGCCCGGACCCCCCGCCCGCGGGGCCGCTGCCGGGCGGGGCCGTGCGGGGCCGGTGCCGCGGGATGCCGGGGGGTCCGGGGGAGCCCCGGGGGCGCCGGGGGGTGCGCGCTCCCCGGCCGGCAGCTGTTGCTGCTGGCGGCTCCCCCGGAGCCTCCGGCTGGCCGGGGCAGCGGTGACTAAGCACTTTGGGGATTTCTACTCTTATTATTTTATTCTATTATTTTCTCCCTCTTTCAAGCGGGTCCTCCCCCCTCTCTCCCCCGCCTCCCCCTCCCATCCTCATCCTCCCCGGCCGCCCCCGCCCGGGGCCGGGCGCGGCAGGGCGGGCGGAGGGGTTCCCCCTTCCGGCCACCGGGAGCATGGGAGCCCCGGGCCGGCTGGGCTCCAGAGCTCGGTCAGCCCTCGGGTGAGGCGGAGCGGGGCCGCGCCGTGCCGGGCCGTGCCGCTCCGGGGCCGGGCCGCGCTCTCCGCCGCGCCCGCGGCAAGTTCCGGGGCTCCCGGGGCGCGCAGAGCGCAGCGGAGCGATGCCGGTGCGCCGGGGCCATGTGGCCCCCCAAAACACCTACCTGGACACCATCATTCGCAAATTTGAAGGACAAAGTGAGTACCGCACCCTCCGGTCCCGCTCCGCTCCCCCCGCGGCCGGGGCGGCCCCCCAACTTCGAAGCACAGTGGGGAGAGGAGGGGGGAAGGCGGGAGGGTGTCCCCGGGGCACGGAGGCGCCCCTGTGACCTCCCGAGGGGGGAGAGGGGTGGGCGACAGCCAGACAGTGTCCCCGCGGGTATTTATAGACAGGGCGACACAGGGGGACGAGCTATCCCAGCCTCGGTGTTTCCCCGGGGGCTGGGGACACCGCGACCCCCCCAGTCCCCGGGCTGGGCCGGTGTGCCCGGGCTGTCGGGGAGGGGGTCCCGGCCGCCAGGACTGGGGGACAGGGGGTACCCCAGCGCAGCCGGGCTCGCTGCCTGTTTGCCTTCAACTCTGCGCTCTCGGCGGCCGCCGTCCCTGGTGAAATGTTGCCATTTGCTGTTGCTCCGAGTAATCCGTTTATATGAATTTTTGGGCTGGTTTCGTGTCAAATACAGCGAAAAGTCCGTGTACATCGGGGAGCACTGGGGTTTGTGTGTGGCTGGGTGGGGGCGCCGGGGCTCCGCTCCCACTCTCTGGGCACCCAACGGGGCCGGGTCCCCCCTACAGTGCTGGGGGTGACAGGAGGGGATCTGGGGACTGGGGTCCCCCAAAAACTGAGCTCGGGGGGCTGCTGTGGGGTGCCGGGGCTGTGCAGCCCCCACTGCCCCGGCTCATTGTGGGTTTTCTCTGACGTCCAACTTTCCCGAGTGGGCAAATTCCCTGGCGCTGCCATCCCTGCCGGATCTGCGCTGCCTGGCCTGGTAGTGACTGACGTGACCCTGGGATGGAAAGTGAGAAAAACTGTCCCTGGCTCCTATCAGTTCCCCCTGGGAAGCGGCGGCTGGGGAGCAGCGGGGCCACGCGGTGAGGCGTGACAGCGAGGACGCAGCCAGGCCCCCGTTCCCATTCCCTGCCCGCTCCCTGCCAGCCATGTCGGGCACCAGCTGCGTTCTGCCGAAACATCACCCCACGCTCCCCCGCGGCAGTTTCGTGCTGTGACAGGTGTTGGGAGACACCAAACCAGCACACCTAATACAGCTCCGCTGCAGGCAGTGAGTTTTTCCATGCCTGTGAGTGCCTTCACCCCCCACACCGCAGCTCCCATGGGTGCAGCTGCTCCTGGTGAGTCCCCATTGCCGCCAGAGGGGCTCAGCTGTTCCCTGCCAGGGCTGGTGCAGAGCCCTGGTACTGTAGGACCAAGGGAAAATCTGCAGGTGAGGGCAGGGCAGAAAGCAAATTGGGGGTGAAAAAACCCCAAGGAGACCCGGCTCTGCAGCTCCTTCCCATCCTGGTCTTGGTCACATCCCTGTGCTCAGCACAGCTTGCTCCGGCGCCCTGCCAGCCCTGTAAATCCTGTTCTGCGCCAGCCCAGCCAGGATCCAGACTCGATCCAGTCCACAGAGCTGACACGGGGTGGGGAAACTGTTCATCACAGGTGGGGAGTGTGCCCCGGGAGTAGGGCTTTGGGAGAAGGTTCCCTCCTTGTGATGTCTTCCAGCTGGCAAGGCAATTTGGATATAGAAGGGTCGGGAAGAAGGAACTGGGAAACATTTGTCTGTGGTGGTTTGTGCTGTTTGCAGCATCAGCACCAGCCCTGTATCAGAAAGGGAAAGGTGCTGGAATGGGAGCCCCCACAAAGGGCCACCAAGGGGCTCTCAGAGGGTGGAATGATGCAGGAGACTTGTGCAGCATCCCTGGGGACACTGGTTTTACTGGGAAGCTTCCTGCAGAGCTGGGGCTCTGCAGGTGCTGCTGGGGAGAGCCCTGATGTGCCTGGGAGGGGTCACCCCACCCCACTGGGTCCCGGCACTCGGTGCTGCAGCTGTGCAGAGGTTTCTCTTGCATTTGGGTGAAATTTCCAGTGAGGCTGGAGTGCAGCAGGGTTCTGGAGCACGCAAGCTGCAGATGCCATTCCTGGGTAATCCAGGAGATTAATTGGGGTCTGGGCTGGGAGGCAGCCTCCAAATGGACCCTCTGCTCAGACTTGCCTTCAGCTCCAGCCCGGAGCTAATGCCAAATGCTGAGGGAGATGGTGCTGGAGGGGCATGGCATCCACCACATAAGCAAACCTGTCCCAGAGCCCAGCACTCCCCGATATCCTTTAAAAAAGCTGAAATAAAACCAAATCAGAGCTCACCCCAAGATAAGGATGGAAGTGGCTCCATGTGGGCTGTGCAGCATTGCCACACACCCTGGCAAAGCAGCAAGTCTGGCCCTAGCCCAGCCTAGGTGGCTGCAGCACCAGAAGAGAATGGGGCAGCACTACTCCCTGCCTCAGTTTCCCCTTTCCTTCACTTGAGCATTTTACGTTTTGAGCACAGGAGCCACAAATCCCAATGGGGTCTGGATTTCACCTTCAGCCCAAAGGCACAATTATCCTATAAAGCATTAGGAGAATCATTAATGGGATGGGTTTCACCCCTGCTCTTCCCCTGAAGCCAAGCCTCACACTCACTCCTCCTCTTGCCCCTTGCCTGACTTCAGTCAAATCTGAGCAAGGGTGGAAAGTCTCTGAGATAACTCAGGTCCCTGATAAGCTCCTGAGAAGGGACAGAGGCTGCAGCTCTCCCCTCTGCCTGCAGTGCCGGTCAGGGACAGATTGCTCATTAGACAGCAGAGTCCCCACATGCCAGTGGTGAGATGTCAAGGCTGCCGGGATTGGCCAATCCCAGCAAAACTGCCTCTACTGAGAAACCCCCCTTTGCATCTCCCTGTCCCCACAGTCACAAATTCACATGGAATTGGGGACACTTTCTGTCTCTGCAGAGCAGAGCAGTATCTGGGATGGTGTGGGCTGAGGTCAGCCACTCTCCCCCCCGACCTGTCACCAGTGTCCCCAGGGAGTCTGTCTCTACACAAGCCCCGCAGCAGGTGACACCAAAAATCACAAGCCCTGCACCCAGGGTGTCCCCAGTCCCTGTGGGTCCCCAGCACCCCTCTCAGCCTCGTGCTCTCCTGCCCCCCTGCAGACCGCAAGTTCCTCATTGCCAACGCGCAGATGGAGAACTGTGCCATCATCTACTGCAACGACGGCTTCTGTGAGATGTTCGGCTACTCCCGCGTGGAGGTGATGCAGCAGCCCTGCACCTGCGACTTCCTCACCGGCCCCGACACCACCAAGAGCTCCATTGCCCAGCTCACCCAGGCCCTGCTCGGCTCCGAGGAGTGCAAGCTCGAGATCCTCTACTACCGCAAAGACAGTAAGAGTGGCTCTGTGGGCTGATCCCGTGGTGGGTGGTGTGACCTGCCCTGCCTTCGGTGGGAGGCAAACAGGATCTGATGCTACCAGGGCATCAGGATTGCACCCAGGCTCAGGGCTTTGCTGAGAGCAAATCCATAGTGGCTCCTGGTGGGATGGAGGCATCTCTGCTGTCATGTAGAGGATGTTGGCAGATTATTTGGGAATCGGGTCATTTGTGAACCCTTGGGGATGGCTCAGAGCTCCTTGGACAAACTGTGCCACTGCTTGTGGGATCTCTGCACCAGGAATGAGAATCCAGTGGGAAGCCCATGGAGAAGCCAGACTGGGACAGACGTGTCCCAGGGTGTGCTCCAAGATGAGATGAGAGAGATCCCCCATCTCTGCTGAGAGTGGGAGCAGCCGACGGCCTCAGAGCTGCCTTTGCAGTGAGCAGGATGCGGCTGTGCGTGCACAGATGGAATTACGTTAAGATGAAAATGAAGCTTTGATGGAAAATACGAGTGATTAGTTCTAATACGGCAGGAAGTTAAATAAATATTTAGTGCTTGATGCTGCAAAACATCAGTGGCCAGGGCTCCCAGGGGTGGGGAAATGCAGGTCCAGTGCTCGTGGGAGGTTAAAAACATGAAGTGTTTCCTTTCTTTAACCTGTGGGGCTTGCCCGTTGCTTTAGATTGTATTGATGGGGGCTTGGCCTGCACACGGGGCTGCAGCCCACTGCTGGCATCTCCTGCACAGCCAGTTAGAGGAGAACTACTGGAAGCAAAAGGAAGGAGCAGGCAGGAACCCTGGCTCCCAGCCCAGCACCCTATCTTGGGGGCTGGCACCCGGCTGTCCTGGCCTGTCTCCCAGACCCTATCTCCTGGGCTGGCATCCAGGTGCCAGCGAATGGCCCCCGGAGTTATTCCCTGGCAGCACCTCTGTGTGTTATCCCAGCGTTATCCTGGTGGGACCTGACCCTGCGTGGTGGCAGGACCAGGCCACTCGGTCGAGGCTCTTCCTGTGGGGCCAGTCCTGGGTGGAGAGGGGCCATGTGTGGTGCCAGGTCTGGGTGCAAGTCCCAGCCTTCAGCAGTTGCAGGGCCTGGCTGGAGCCCAGAGAGAGAGAGATGGAGACACACAGAGCATCAGCACACGCTGCTGCCCTCCCTGTGCCAGTGCAGGGCCATGCACTGGCTGTGGCAGGGACAGCATCTGCAGCCCTGCTCCATTTCCTCCCTCCCTCAGGATAGTTTCCTATTCTGTCCCTGGGGAAGACTTGGCTTGTGAGCCTGATCTATGGCCATGCTCCCTGCTTTGAAGCATTCCTGCTGGGCTCACGGGATGCTCGGTGCTGTCCTCAGAGCCCTGCTCTTCCTCTAGGCCATGGGGAACTCTCATTGCAGCTCTGAGCTGCTTTCTTCTCTTTTTTATTAAAAAAGAGGGGAAAAAAATAAAAAAGCCCAGAAGCAAACCCTTCATGTCTATTTTTAAAACCCAACCCCACCAGCAGCATGCTTTCCAATTGTTTCCCCCCAGCACTCAGCCTGCGACCGCTCAGCCCATTATAAATGGGTCTTATCGGCAAAGAAAAGGCTTTTGCATTATAGGGAGCTGCTGCTTAATTAGCCGGCGGAGCTCGGAACCTGCCTGTCCTCTTTTTCATACCAGCAGCACCAATCTCCAGCCTCGACCTGCTGTTTATTACTGCGGTACTCCCGGCTCTGCAGCTCGCGGGGTTGTTTCCTCGCTTTTCTGGCTGACAGAAGCAATCTTATACCCAAAATCTGCCCGCTGGAGCCACCCAAGCAGGGCTGGGGGGGATGGATGGAGGTAGGTAGGTAGGAAGGGGCCACCCAAGGGTGTCTGGGCCAGTGGGTTCTGGGGTCAGCAGCATGCTGAGTGATGGGGGTGCCTGTCCCTGGGGACAGCCTGGCTGCTCAGTCCCCAGCTGGATGCCCATGCTGTCATCACCTAATTATAAACAGAGCCAAACGAGCCAGGGGTGCCAACAGTGAGCCCAGCTCCAAAATGGAACCAAGAACCAAGTACCTGTGGGGGAAGGTGGGACCAGCCCAGCCAGGGCAGTTGTCCCTCCCTGCCACACCAGCCCCAAAAAGGCATTGGAAAGAGGGAAGAGCCCATTCACAGTGTGTGTGGGCTCTAATCCCCAGCTCAAAGCTGGGAGATCAGTGAAAAGTTAATTTCCTTACAAGATGCTACACAGCTGGAAGTGGCCCAGACAGGGGGGTCAGCACGGGATCAGCTCCTGCCACAGCGAGGAGCAGCCATGGCCCTGGGGACACTGTCCACTGTGGCCAGGGTGAGCTCAAATCATCCATCATCCCCTGAGGATGACACTGAGGAGCTGGTGGAGCTGAGCTGCATCCAGGGTTGGTGTTTTTCCCTCCCCAGGGGTGATGTGCTTTGCAGCAAAGCTGCTGGCCAGGGCTCACGGGGTCCCCAGAGCGGGAGGTGGCCACAGGTGCTGAGTGCCACAGTGCTAGCATGGCCTGAGCAGCAGCAGCTGGTGGCACCCGCTCTGCTTAATCGGCATGAATGTGATGCTGATGAATATGAAAGGGGAGATGTGGCTGTGACAGCTGGAGCAGCTGCTGGGACAGCCCCAGCTGCCCTGTCCTGGGCAAAGCCCACAGCTTGTCCCCTCCAGCAGCAGTCTGTGTCTGTCCCCCTGGAACTGGGATTGGGGACTGGGATCAGGCCAGCAAACTCGCAACACTGGTGTGGAAGCCAGGATTTTCCCTTCCAGGAGCAGGAGGGTCAGAGAGTGATTGGGGTGCTCCGTGCCACTCAGCATATCCCCCCAACAGGTCCCCATGGGGGGCCTGAACGAGTAGCCAGGCAGGCATGGGGTGGGAAGTGCCACCACAGCCAGAGGGGACAAGGGCACTCATGTGACATGTCCCCTCTGTCCCCAGCCCAGGGCACATCCCTGGCACTGCAGCTCTCCAGCCCTGCTGCCAGGAAGCCTGGCTAAGGCAGGGGGATGGATCCAACCAGGGTTTGTCCATACAGCTTTGTAAACAGCGACATGTGACATGCCCGACAGGTGCACTGGGAGCAGGAGGGCAAATCCCACCAACAGCTGCTGGATGCTGGCACTGTCAGGGATTTGGTGCTGGCAGCCCCAGGGAGCCTCTGCTCCTGCCCCATGGCGGGGTCAAGGCAGGACTGAGGGGATTTCTTGGGTGTTGGAGGAGTAGGAAGGCACAGCCAGCTGACAAACCCCAGCCCCAAGTTGAGCTCTTGGCTTGTACCAACCCATGGGGTTTATGCCAAGCTAGAGCTGTTTGCTGTTTGCTTTAAGGGTCAGTCTGTGACCTTGGGAAAGGGATGGACACCATGGCCCAGCTCCAGATGGGAACTTGTAAACATCCCGCCCCACAGCAGCAAAAGCTCTGGTCCCAGAGGTCCTGTGCTGTGGAGCTGATTCTGCCATCCTTGGCACGGCTGTGCTGCAGCTCCAGGCACCCCCATTGCCCTGGCTGTGCCCCAGGGCCAGTCTCACTAGGGCAGAGAGCTGGAAGGGACACATTTTTCATCCTCTGCTGCTTTTTGCTTGAACCTGATGTCCCACAAACAAAAGGAGAGACCCAGGTCATCCCCAGCACCTCCAAGAATGCTGCCTGGAGCAGGCTTTTTCCTGAAATCCCTGCCCTGACAGGGTCCCTGATTCCCACCCCAAGCTCTCCATCCTTAATGACTGTTGCATCCCCAGTGGGAGGGGGCCCCATGTGCCATGGAAAAGGGCCTTGGGATGGCCCCAGGAAACGCTGTCAGCACTGCAGCTTTGCCACACAGCCCCGCTCTGAGATTCGTAATTCCTGCAGCCAGCAGGATTCAGCAAGGGAAGGACTGAGAGCCCAGACACGGCCACTCACTTGGCTTGCAGAGGAGGTTAAGATGCATTTTGCCAACCCAGTGTATTGATCCAGGACCCCTTCTTGCTCCTCTGGATCACAGCATCCTTCCACCTGCACCCAAAACCACCCTGCTAGTCTTGGATCTTTCTCGTGGCCACATTTTGGTGGGTACCCTCAGCCACCCGACTCTCCTGGTTTTCCTTCTCCACTGCTGCTCCCAGCTAGCGAGGCCTGTAAGCCCAGGAATCCCTGCCCTTCCTCCATCCCTCTGATGTTACTTAATAAGGTCATTTTTGCTGGCCTGGTGTCGTGGCAGGTTTCAGTCTCCTGATGCCCTGTGTGGGTGTGGGCAGAGGGGCCAGGGCAGACCCTGTGTTGCCCATTCCCTCCCTGAGCAGGGGGATGCAGATCTGCAGGGGCTCACCCCAGGTCCCAAGAGTGACCAATGTCCCACTAGCTCAGACTCCATTTTTTTCCATCCCACCTCAGGGATTTGCTTTAGGGCCTCCCAGCAATCTACGCTTCCCTTTGAAGTTCTACCCAGCCCCGACACTGATTTATCCCAGGATGGGAGCACAGCTTGGTCCTCCAAGCTTCTCTCTGGGCATGGCCATCCCCGGAGCACAGCTCTGTCACCATCACTGTCCCCGTCCCCTCCGTGCCCTTCCCAGCCCCTCTCCTCTGCTCCTTTATGTAATACCACTATAGATTTAGCCACTCTGCCATGAGACCCTGCAGATTAAATCTCCCGGCCGGGGGGAGGGCAGGCCTGGGTAAGAGCTCCAAGCACAGATTAATAGCTCGCTTTTTTAATATTCATAACAATACTGGCTTGTGTCCGGCTCTCGGAAACCCCCGTGTCCTTTGATTAGTTTAATACTGATGATACTGACAAATGCATTAACCACTGGTGGCTGCGGGGGATCAGAGGGACAGGGAGGGAGGGCCCCAACAATGACATTTTTAATGTTATTAAGTGTTGGCTTTTATCAAGGTCAGAAGACACGGTGGGTCAGAAAGCACAAACCTCCAGGCACTCCCTCAGCTTGGGGGAGCTGGGCTGGTTGCTGGAAGATCAAATCCAGGAGTTTAGGGAATGAGCTGGCTTTCCCAGCCCATACAAGCCCACCACGTTGGCTGTGGGACCCTTCAAACCCTCATCCCTGTCTTACCCCACCTGCCAAGGCCTTTCTGTAGCCCCCAGGCTGGGTTTCAGCCCAGATGGGCACAGGCATCCTCATGCTGGTGGCCACAGAGCACAGGCAGGTTGTGAATGCCCCCAGGGCTCCTCCAAGAGATCATTTGGTGGCTGGATAAAATTAGATGGATGGAGACAGATTAGCTGAACAGCTGAAGGGAAGAGACAGTCAGATGGATGGGGACAGTCGATGGAGGAACAGGGATGGGAGGGCAGGTCCCTCAGGGGCTGGTGCTGCAGCAGGTCTGGGGTGCCTGGTTTCTGGGAAGAAGATGGGGAGGCTTGGCGTTCAGCAGAGCCCAGGGTGGCCCATCACAGGGAAACTGAGTCAGGGCAGAGGTGCCACAGCTCTCCCAGCTGCAGCCTGTCCACGGAGCTGGGGACACCCCAAATCACAGCTGTACAGAGACCCCAAATCCTGGGGGAATGCCTTGTTTTTGGGCCAGGCTTAAGGGAATCTGCTGCTCCCATCCTGGCCCTGATACTCCCTCATTCCCTTGCCACCTCCACGCTGTGCAGTGAGGGTCTGAGCAAGGCACTGAGCTCCTGGCAAGCAGGACTGTGCCTGCCCGGGCTGCTTTTGGGGTGATTCTCCTGCTTTTGGAGGAGGATTAACTTTTGGCCAACCCTGAATTGGCCAGGCAATTGGACTAGATTATTGCTGTAGTTCCCTCCCAACAGAAATAGTCTATTTTATTTAATTTAAGAAGGGATCAGCAAGGGGCTTGCAGTGATATTGGCCAGGCCTGCTCAAGCTCAGCACCTCCCAGATTTGCAGGATCAAACCAGGCACCAGCTGCCACCCAAACCCACCCCCAGCCACCTCCCAGCTGCTCCTGATATCTCTCCAACTGGATGTAGCTGGGCCCAGTGTTCAGCTGTTCAGCACTGGCCATGGGATTAACCCTTTCCCGTGCCACATCGAGCCTGCCAGGATCTATCCCCCCTGAGAACAGCTCAGAGCCCATCCCCTCCCACTGCCACGGGGAAACTTAGGAAGGAACGTGAGGCAGTGAAGGAATGCAGGAGGGCAGAGCACCTGAGCCAGGACTGGGCAATCTGGATCCCAATTCCCAGTCCAGGGAGAAGCATGGACTTGATGGCTGCCCATGCCAATGAACTGTGTGGGTTCCAGGAAGTTAGTGATGCTTCAAAATCACCCCTGGGGGGAAAAACTCCTCATTTTCTAACACACCGAAGGAGAAAGCATCCGTGAGAGGGCTCCCCTGTGCACAGCCCCTGCACACACCAGTGCC